CCTTATCCTCAAAATCAAATCTTCGACATGAAAATATCACTACAAAGACGTGCACACGCCTGGTATAAAAACCTCACATACAATGCAATTCACTTTCAAGTTTGATAAGAAAAAAAATAAACTAAACGCAAGCCTTGGTCTTAGCTTTGATCAATAGGTTTAATGAATGGCTGGGAACGCTTACGACATTTACAATACAGACAAGGTCAAAAACCTGCAGTGTGGTCTCAACTTATCACTAGATTATTGTAATAACAAAGCATCAAAGTCAAAATTGGAGTAATATATATATTTTTTTTTTTTTTAATTTACGTATTACACATTGATATGAAATGAATTGTGAAAAAAGAGTCATATTCATGCAAGATGATTCACGACAATGTGCTATAACTTTAACATACACTTTAAATACCTTATTTCACTAGTTATAAAGGCCTTGGAGAAGAGACCACCATCTAGGGTGGAACTGCATTTCCACACAATGATGTGTGGTTATTGCCCTAACTAGCTCTCGCTCCGAAGTTTTTCTGACATTTAAGATTCTTTCTAAAAATGTTCAGAAGGCAACAAAAGTTCAAAATCCTTAAAAAATGTCTCTCAACATATTTACAAAACCTTTCTAATCTGTTAATCTTCCCAATAAAACCTTCTCTTAGCTAGTTAAGATCATTGTTGGGTTGGAAAAGTAAACTGTTTTCATTTTGTTGTATTTTCCACTTTAACCTGTACTTTACACACCACAGTCTTTATCACAGATCTCCAATGTAAAGCGTGATAGCATGTAGCACTGTATAGTTTTAATCTCGAACCATGTGCTAATCATATCACCAGAAGAGTTAATTTGTAATTTATGGTTTAAAAAATCTATCTTTATTAGCAAATTAGCTCTTAGGTGCTATAAACAGGTTTAATTGGTTTTGGAATTCCTTCAGAAATTCTAATTTACTGTGGAGACAAAAACACTAGTTCAGGAATTGCTAAACTTACAAACAAAAGATCAAATGATCAAAAACACGAAAAAATCAATACAAAATGATTAATTTGCTTTTACGTGTAAATGATCATTATATGTATGACAAACAGAAGAGTAATATCTATGTGTTTATCCCATTTGAATTTAGAGCTAAACCCTTAGAAGCTGTTACAGCAGGTCACGAAGCTAACAAGGCTTTGTCTGTAACCAGATAACAGTAGACTACAGGGGTTCTCATGTGGAGATCAGCTCTCTGATTTCTACAGAAAATACATTTATCTTTACATTTTATGCCTTTTCAGATTGAGAAAAATAAGTTACTTCTCACAGATGTATTGCTGGACAACTTTAAATTGAATTTCCAAGAGCAAATCATTTTTCCAATATTTTCAAAATAGTTTTTAGTATGTAATTGCAAAAAGTGAAGGTGTCAGACAGCCTGTTGATATCTGAACATTACTTATACCCTAATATTAACCTTATATGATCAGATGGGATATCATTCTACCCCAGGCCCGCACATCAGAGATCACTCAACCCCAGGCCCTGAATATCAGATGGGAGATAACTCTACCCCAGGCCTGAATATCAGAAGGGAGATCACTCTACCCCAGGCCCTGAATATCAGAAGGGAGATCGCTCTCCCCCAGGCCCTGAGCATTAGAAGGGAGATCACTCTACCCAAGGCCCTGAGTATCAGAAGGGAGATCACTCTCCCCCAGGCCTTGAGTATTAGAAGGGAGATCACTCTACCCCAGGCCTTGAGTATTAGAAGGGAGATCACTCTACCCCAGGCCTTGAGTATCAGAAGAGAGATCACTCTAACCCAGGCCCTGAGTATCAAAAGGGAGATCACTCTACCCCAGGCCCTGATTATCAGAAGGGAGATCACTCTACCCCAGGCCCTGAATATCAGAAGGGAGATCACTCTACCCCAGGCCCTGAGTATCAGAAGGGAGATCACAAAATATATCTCCTTTTTGTAATGATAAAGAAGAACAAGCGTTGTCACTTTTCCAGTTTGCTGTAGTAAACAGTGATTTTGTTTGTATTTTGTAGGTTTAAAAAATAAAAAATAAAATCTTTTTCAGTTTTTCAAATGACAACATTTCCCCACTGAATTGATAATTCCCTCCAATACAGCATGCAGGAGCAGTGCTGACAACTCAGGTCTCGGTCTACATGTTTGTAGATGTTAATCAACATCATAGGTGTACTGTCCCAATTCTTGTTAACTTATATTTTATTAACACAATACACATCATTGTATATCCCATTCATCTGTATGACATTTACCCCAGGAAGTAATGACCTATGTAGGAACATCTGGTATAAAGCCAGCTTGACCTCCCTTCCTTGGTCCAGTGTATTCCACTAAACAATCTGTTTAATGGTTAATAATGAGTATGATTAAATTCAAATCTATCCTGATTTCCCTTTATCTTCCAAAGGTTCTTGCCCCCTGCTTTTTTGTCAATGTTATGCTAAGTTGTTTAGTTATCTTGATTTAGAGGTAGGAACCAGTTATCAAAACAATAAACATAATCTCGACCATTTTTTTATATACAATGGTGATAAGATAACTCCAGTTCCAGGTCAATGTACTTTTATATTAATGTTTATACACATTAAAGTGAATAGCACACAGAGCTTACTTGTAGTATTACTTTTGTTCTTGTTTTTGTCCTTTGCACTTCAAATTAATTGTAATTGTAATTTGTGTGTATCTGCATGCACATCGGTAATTGATAAGTTGACGTTGACGTTACCTGCCTGTGCTGGGTCTACATAATGTGCCCAGACAGGTTATCATAATCCACTGATAGATCATCACCAAAAATAATTTATTTTGAGGTATTTTTCATACAAATCCATCATCTCCATGCCGACATTGGAGTGCCGTCTGCTTTATCTTCCTGGAGATGGTCGGCAACAATTATGGCCCCAATCTGACACTTGCAGTGAGATGGAATCTCCAACACCTACAGCTAACATCCTCTCTATCTTCTTGGCTTCAAAAACATGATCAGCTACATGATTCGAGGATTTCAACTAGCTGGTGTCAAATTTCCAACATTCATAGAAAAGTGTACACATCTGTATCCTGATACAATGTACATAGAAAAGTGTACACATCTGTATCCTGATACTATGGACATAGAAAAGTGTACACATCTGTATCCTGATACTATGTACATAGAAAAGTGTACACATCTAAGTTTTACCGAGTATCATTGGTTGAATTTTCTATTTTTAAGTGCTTCATATTTTTCAATTGTTCCATGGCTTAAAGTTTAATACATTCAAACAACTCTGGTAGTTTTGATATCTGATTTTGTTTTCTATCTATATTTCACATTGAAAAACCAATCCTTAATTATGAGTAGATAGGACACAGCCTTGTAGCAGTCCTAATCGCATGACTTAGAACCAAGAAAGAGTATCAATGCTGGGACCTTGAAACATTCTTATGATAACTATTTACGGCAATGTGACACTTCCTCGGGATTGATTTAATTGATGAATGAAACAGGATTAGAACATAACAAAAACTTGGAAACTGCCAAGTTGTACAAACCACTCCATATGATGGGCTTGGTTCAACTCGGATTCTTGTCTGAAAAGGCTTGACCTCATATTTGATAAAGGTTGACAGCTCATGATTTTTTTTACCCTCAAGAACAAATGGTGTTTTTTCAGGCAGGTAAGTCGCCACGGTAGGTGGTGTAGCATATGAAGTTAATTAATTTTCACCTGGGTTTCACCTGTCTGGGCATCAATCACGCCTAGACAGGTATGCTTATCATTATAAAGAGCTCAGGAGCTGTAAAGGCCAATCCTACCCACCCCCTAATTACATAGCCACAAAATGAAATACCAGATTAAATTCACAGCCTTTTTTGACTGCAACATCAGGTGTATAGTTATATTCGTATCAACACTTCAAAACACCTTATTATTTCTTTGTTCCTTATACCCACTGGCCTGAGATGGAGGATTTAATAAAACCTTGTCGACTTCAAGAACATAAAAAGTCTCTGATTTAAAAAAAAAGAAGATTGAAATTCACATTTAATGGAAATCAAATATACTTAATGGACTGATTAATCTATGTTGAGGTTCACCTCCACAAGTTCTGGATTTTATTTTTATAAAGAGGGGTGGGGGGAGAGATGAGTAATGGGCATTGGGATATAACTGGGGAATCCTGTTGGAGATGATAGCCTTAGATGACAGATATCTGATAAAATTTCAAGGTAACAGAATTCTGTAATATATCATCATTACTGTATAAATCTCCCCATCATTTCATGAGTATCCTTGACAAGGAATCCCTTAACAAGCTTCAAGGTTACCCAGGTGAAGAGTTGACCTTGGTCACCCATAGTCACCATGGTATTTGTCCACTATTTTTGTTTATATGATTGGCTTTTGATTGACATTGATCAACCTTAAACTATTGATACTTTAACAATGGAGATAGGGAAAATAGGTTTACGGATTTGAGGAAACAATTCCTCTATTACAGGACTGATATGTAGGCTAACATCAAATGTATATAAATATAGAAACCACAATGTCAGTAAAGGTTTGTCATATTGACAAGCCCACACCATACCATTCGCCAGGAATAGCCCCCATTTGTCTCTGTCCAGACACTCGTGGACATAATGTCATTACGATAAGTGATTTACCTCCCTCGGATCTCAGGCCAGAGCTTTGTCAGACTTTACAGACTCAACCTGTCAGGTTGGATAATGCTGGTCAGTCCAAACTGGACAATACCATCCTGGTAATATCAGTTATTCCAGAATGGACACATCCCAGACCGATAAAAATAAATAGCCAGTCTGAGAAGGAAGTTTCCCAAATTGGAGAAATTCTAGTGAAACCAACACAAGTCAATCAAATACCAGTCTGTCCAAACTGAACAAGTCAGTCCAAACTGAACATTTCCTAACATAATAAAATCCACTGACTGATAATTTTTCTAAATGGATATATTATGTATCAAAATCATCCTTACCTGTCCATTTCCAAAACGACCTTGAACTTCGACTTTGGTAATGACGGTCAGCTGGTCGAGGTCAATTTGGAGATATTCATAAGAATCCATGGTGATTTGTTCTTTTGGACACCATGCCCCACCACTGATCTCTTGTCGGATTCTAGAAAGACAAAAAAATAGACACTGTAATAGACTTGTACAACTTTTTAAAGAAATAATTGAACATATCTTCATATTACTTCCTTTGATCTATTTTTTCTCGAAAAAATATATTTCTAAATTTAACATCAACATGTGTGTTGAAAATGTGCAGTAGTGTTCGGGGATTATATCTGTAACCAAGTGGTTCAGTCAGAAATTTATATCTGTAACCAAGTGGTTCAGTCAGGAATTATATCTGTAACCAAGTGGTTCAGTCAGGGATTATATCTGTAACCAAGTGGTTCAGTCAGGGATTATATCTGTAACCAAGTGGTTCAGTCAGGGATTATATATGTAACCAAGTGGTTCAGTCAGGGATTACATCTGTAACCAAGTGGTTCAGTCAGGGATTATATCTGTAACCAAGTGGTTCAGTCAGGGATTATATCTGTAACCAAGTGGTTTAGTCAGGAATTATATCTGTAACCAAGTGGTTCATTCAGGGATTATTTCTTCTGTAACCAAGTGGTTTAGTTCGGGATCATATCTGTAACCAAGTGTTCCACTCAGGGATTATTTCTTCTGTAACCAAGTGGTATAGTTAGGGATTTATATCTGTAACCAAGTGGTTCACTCAGAAAATTAACTATTATTTGTTCAATTAAATCATTTCATGAAAAATGAATTATAATGAATTAATGTCATACATCTTATTCAGTTTGAATATTTGTAGGTAAAATAAAGCGGAAATGTCTAAATGATGATTCAAATAAATTGGAGCTGTCCACCTAGTCATACACTGTGTGTCTCAATCATTTTATTGTCATTGTGTATTTATGTTGGCCTCACCTAGAACAGTGATGCAAGGATGTCAATAAGTGTCAGTATCATAGATTCAGCTTTCTTAGCAGCTAGACAGCGCAAGCCTTAACATTTCAACATCAAATCACAGTTCTATATTACAACCAGCCAACCTTCTCTGCCAGCCAACCAGTACTGTAAAAATCAATACTCCTCTTACCCAAGTCACCAGGAACAAACAAAATGGCGGCTTGTGATTGAAGCAATGTTCTGTATTGACACAGGTCACAACTGTCTAATGAAAAACTTGTTAGAAACAAATTGGCAAATATTGCACTTTGCCCTCCTGTGCCTTGTGATCATTTACTCTGTTTCTGTTGGTATGAAGGCCGTGTGCTGTAGATACATCAGTATACTAGCTGTACAACAGATCATTACATTGCAGTAGTAGAGGGCTTGATGATGTCTACAACACCATAATTAAAATACAGAATTCAGCGGACCAAGTTTGTTCTAACATGAAAATACATTATTTTGATTCATTGAAGGCTTTTAACACTATACAGGTCTCACAAAAAACACCACAGAGTATCGAGGGTAAATGAACAGAGGACAGTAAAACTTAGCAAAGCGGGGAAGGTGCTTGTCTGCTGTAATAATGATGCTCCCACATTTAGCCTGTAGCAGAGGAGGGACACAAAGAACATGGTAGAGCTTTATCATCACATTAATAACACCCGTTATTGAGCTACACCAACTGGCATCCCAGCCTTCAAACATCCTCTTAAACACAGCCAGTCAATACTGCACCTTACAAAACCTCTGGGTGTCTGAAGTTTAGGGGTAAGGCCTTGAAAACTTTTGCCAAAACAACTTGAGGTTGACGTCCATTGTGCCGATGTACATTGGCATTCATGGAAATCTTTGAGAGGGCTGAAATGTTCTACACTTTTATAAATACAGATCAGATTGTTGTGTTCCCAGGAATAATGCACATCTTCTCCTTCACTGTAACTTTATCTTGAATTTAGTAATGAAAACAGGGGATACTTCGTCCAGGCAATGACTGCATTGCTAAACATTGGTCGAAATAATGTAGTATACAACAAATGGTTTCCATAGGGAAGGCAGATAGATGATAAAACAATTGTCACTCGGAGTCCCAATAGTTTGGCGTCCTAGCTTTCTTCAAAGAGGAAAGTCAACAGAGAATTTAAGTTTCATTCATCTTGATTCTTCTGAAGAGGAAATATAAGTTATATATTTTTGTTGAGCAGCATAAAGCTATATACTCCAAATATCTAGCACATGCATCAGATGGAACACATGGGGCGCTTGGTATATATTTTCTATCGTTAACCACAGCAACTGTTACCACAAATGTGTGTGTTTATTATTAGTATGAAACGAGGCACTGATGCCGTCAATTAGATATTCTTGTTTGTGGATGTACAAGTATTACAGGATGGAATGTCAATTTCTCTCCTGCGATCTGCTGACATCAACTGACGATGGTTAATATTGGTACACAGAAATGGTACGACACAGTTGTGTGATATTAATGGTTTAAGTGGTTGTGTAATGGTGTAGTCTGTAGTTAGACAGCCTGAAGCTGGGGGTGTTACCTTAACACTGTATACAACGACTTGGTTATGGATGGGGGTAGGGGAGAATGATGGGGGT